GACGAGGATGAGGAGGACGAGGAGGAGGGGGGGAGAAAAGGACCAGTGTAAACCCAAGACTCTGTCAACGACGTTGGAATACACCCTTCAAGTAAGTTCCTTCTTCATAGGCCCATGCAACGGTTCATTTCCACTGAGGGCAGTGCCCCGGCGGGCCGTTGGGGGACAAACGTGCGAAAATCTTGAAGCGTGCCAGAACACCTTTTTCATGACTTCACTGTCACGAGGCAACATGATTGCTGCGCATGGCCGATCCCGAATCGCGCCAGGAATCAAGCCCTTGGACTTCAACACCGCGAGCCAACGCAACTGTTGACCATCCTGAATCGTGCCAAAACACTCTGGTAAGTTAGCCATGCGGCAGAGTGAAGCTCTTGCAACTTCTTGAATCGAATGCGCGCTGCGCTAAGGCAAGAGCCGCATGATGGAAAGGATCGGCCTTCAACCCGCGAGAACCTTGCATTTTTGAATCGGACGTGTGAGCGCTATGGCAAGAACCACAGTTTGAAAACTATTCACCTTCAATCCATTAAACTGTTTCGAATTTGGAACCGCGCTGGGGCGCACTGGGACCTCGACGAGCAGCGCTTGTTCGCCGCGCTCGAGAAGGACGCCGCGTCTGCAGAGAGAGACATTTTGGAAGCCAGTCCGTAAAACTCATGTGCATTTTTTTGTTGTGAATGTGCGCGGCGTTCTGGCGAAAACCACATGTTGGAAGCGGCCCGCCTTCCATCCGAGAAACTGTTGCCAGTGCTTAAGCTTTGGGCTCGTAAGTGGTTAGGAAGTCTCAGGCGGAACTCCCGGCCCGCCCTTCCGACTGTCATCGGGGTGCGATAGTGATGAGGTTGTCATATGAAACCGGAGTACAGGAGAAGAAGTACGGGGAGGAAAGGGGGGAGGGAAAGAGGAAGATGAGGAGTCAGAGGAGGACGAGGAGGACGATGATGAGGCGTAGCAGCAGCAGGAGGGGGAAGGTAGGAGAGGGGGGGGTGAAGGCGGTGGGGGAGCAAGGTAGGTGCGTCCAGGCCATATCTGACATCCTGCCCCGCCCTCCTTCCCCCCCGGGCACCTATCCCATCAAATCGCCGGTCGGTGTGTCCTAGAAGACCTTGATCCGCCAAATCACCCCATCGTGTAATGCGCAAGGAAAAGGTGTGTGGGGGCTTTGTACGTTACAGGAGCAGGTGGTGGATGAGCCGAAGGAAGAAGAGCATGAGGAGGATCAGCAGCAGCAGAAGCAGGAGGAGCCTGCGGATTAGATCGGATCCGGGATGACCAAGGAAAGGCGGAGTAAGGGAATGGAGGGCGCGGCAACAACGAGACAGGGATGTGATCCAGAAGTGCGGCCCGCGCCGAGGCGAAATAACCATTTTAAACGACGGGAGCAAGAGCCGATCCAGCAGTGTGGCCAAATTGGACCGGGAACGCCATTTTGAAGGACAGAGATCGGTCCGGCCGGAATCGATATATTAGCCACCGTGGACAGGAATCGATACGTTAGCAGCATGTGGTTTGCAACCTACCGTAGCATCCCGCAGATGCGGATAATGATGAGGGGGCGGCGGGGACGTCGGCAGTCTGCGAGGCTTTGAAGAAGTCCGCCGCAGGGGCATTAGTATTTTTTCTAACGATACGAGCCCGCTGCAGGCGCCGGTTTTTCTGTTAAGGCAATGTGGGTGGGTCGCGGGTTGGGTCCCTGCTGGGTCGCGGGTGGGTCGCGGGTGGGTCGTGGGTGGGTCGCGGGCCGGGTCGCGGGTGGGTCACGGGTGGGTCGTGGGGTGAGTCGCGGGGTGGGTTGCGGGGAGGGTAGCGGGCGGGTCGCGGGGTGGGTCGCGGGTGGGTCGCGGGTGGGTCGCGGGGTGGGTCGCGGGTGGGTCGCGGATGGGTCGCGAGTGGGTCGCGGGTGGGTCGCGGGGTTGGTCACGGGTGGGTCGCGAGGCGGGTCGCGGAGAGGACGACGCCAAACAACGACAGCAAACAAACAAACAACCAAACAAACAAACAATTGAACAATTAACAAGAGTCCGCACCGTGGAATCCCACTTCAGCCACGCACCCAGGGACAGTGAATGACCATTCGGCCCTTCCGTTCTGATGTGTTGCAATGTACGTTGCGAAATATAGATAGCCCATCCTAAGTTTAGCAAGCTATACTGTGTTATCCATATGGTGCGACATACGTTGAGCAAGTCATGGTGTGTTGTCGATGTTGGACCATACATGTGGTACAATGTTTGTTGTGCACGATACGTGGTACAATCCATCTGGTGCGCAGGCCATGCGAAGCAACCGACGCGGTGTTATTCAAGTGGTGCAATGTAGGTTGTGTGATCTCTGTGGTGCATCATATGTGGTGACAGTCACGCCGTGAGTGGGTGGTGACATTCGCTCACGCGTGAATGATACTCACGCGGTGCAATCTATGCGGTACGGCCTGTTGATGCAATCGGTTTTGGCAAACTGAGATTCGTCAGCCTCACTGCTCGCGCAATCATCCCACCGACCCGCCCACTCGCAGCTTGGTTTGCAAAACCCATGCGGCGATGATTGTTTGGTGTTGGCTGGTGCATCGCTTCGGCCGCGCTAGTCCGCGCATGCCCGCGCGCAGAACGGCCAGCTAGTCTGGCGCGACAGACGCGGCCGCGGTGGCGTTGAACGCTGGGCTTCCCCCGCCGCGTCTCGCAGGCCATTCTGGCGCGCGGGCACTTCAATGCGAGGTGGTGACATGGGCGGGCGCGGAATCATGGTGATGATCGTAGTGGTGATGACGATGATGACCACGATACCGACAGAAAGGCCAATGACGGCGCCGATGCTGACCACGCCGATGACGATGATGGAGTCAACGCGTCGGTGATGGAATGTTTGGAACGATTTCGGCATGCGCGCACCGCCGACGCGCGCGAGCGACCCGCATGATTTTTTGGGACAGGGACCGTGCCCCCCCCCAGCACGCTTGCAAGGGCGCTTGAATGATTTCGACATGCGCGTGCGGGAGGCCCTTGTGGCCGCATTGTAACGGCCTGGAAGAACCGAAGGTCGCCTTAAGAATTTGCAAAGGCACTCGTGCACCTGGGTAGACTTTGTCTTGATTATAGGCGTTCGGCACGCGCGGCTTTGTCACCCTTATGAAACGTACAGTTTTAAAGGATGTCGGCATGCGCGCGCGACGACGCGCGCGCATGCGTTCGTATAGTTTGTTGTTGCAAGGGGTTCTTGGATATTCATGATGTGTGATAAACAGGTGCACGCGCATACTACATATTGCATGAGGCGAAAGGGGGTTGTCGATATTATTTGGGTTGGGATGGCATAGTCTCATATGTTTAAACAATTGTGGGGCAGGACCACATTTAAACAGCACGTTCCCAGGGCGCGGGGTATTCCCAGGAGGAGAGGTTGTAAATCATCTCGCTCCCAGGAAGGATGATCGATCTCGTGCAACCCACGTTGTGCAACCTAAGTCGTGCAACGTGTGCGGTGCAACTGGCCCTGCCGACTGTGAAGTTGACAACTTCATTGTTCGTGCAATCGTTCCACCCATTTACCCGCAACTTGGCTTCCAAAGCCCAGTCGGCGGCGATTGCGATGACTGGTTAGCGCTGGCTGGCCCTTCGCTGCGGCCGCACTAGCGCGCGCAGGCTCGCGAGCAGAGCGGCAAGCTAGTCTGGCGCGACCGTTTCGGGCGCGGTGGTGCTGATTGTTGGGCACTCCCAAGCACGTTTCGCAGGCAACGCCGACGCGCGGGCACACCGGTGCGACTTGGTGATTCGGCGGGCGCGGCACCATGGCGACGTCGACAGCGGCACACACGATGGTGATCGTGAAGACGCTGGTGGCGACGATGACGATGGCGACGGCAAAGCCGATGACGGCGCTGATGTTGATCACGCCGGTGGCGATGATGGTGTCCACGTGCTGGTGATGAGGGTGTTGGAAAGATTCCGACATGCGCGAGGGGCCCACGTGGCATTGTTTGACACAGATCGAGACCCACCCCGCCCGCACACGCGCAAGGGCGTCCCAATGGTTTGTACGTGCGCGCGCCAGGGGCCCGTTTGGTCGCACCAGGTGAAACAATTGGAAACAAGAAATGGTTATGATGAGGATTCGGAAAGACGCGCGCGCAAGCCTTTCCCGTGAAACGCCGAATTGCGTCATCATCTGTTTTTGTTCATATATGTATACACGCACTGATGCTTGACATCTTTGCGAACAGCCGGGTTTCTTACATACTTTCGCCAGCATAAGCGAGTGCGCGCGCATGGTATTCGCTGGCGGGGATGACGGGGCGATTCGATACTGGTTTGGCTGGGGTGAGTTCGCATTCCGAAGGAGCGGTTGGGGCAGGATCACGCGCACATTGCATCACAATGGGGCGAACGGATCTTCCCGAGGAGGGAGAACATCCACATTCTCATCTTCAGGAGCGGCCTCAGGAGCGGACACTTTCCGTGGTGCAATCTATGCGGCGCAATCTACGCGGCGCAATCTGTGTTGCGCAACCCATGGTGCACAACGTATGTAGTGTAACCTGCGTTGCGCAATCTATGTAATGCGATCTGTGTGGTGCAGTTCGCGAGATGCAATCTCGCGGCGGGGACGGGGCGGCGACGGCGACAACATAGCTGCCATACCGCCTTTCAGGCTCAGACGACTGGCGGGGGCGAGCGGCGACGGCGACAACATAGCCGCCAAACCGCCAGTCAGGCCCACACGACGACCGGGTGCGACGAGGAGGCGGCGGGGCGGCGAGGCGACAACATAGCCACCAGATTGCCATTCAGGGCCAGCCTCTTCGGACACAAGTTAAAAGCCCTAAATGCAAGCACTGGTTGGGAATGGAGAACATAACTTCTGCTCGCAGATTGTTCGGGCGCGGCGGCCCCGGCATTGGACAGTGTTCATATTGCGTGGCTGTCTTCGTGCAGGAAAAAGGAGAGAGGAGGGAGGAGGCGGAGTGGGAAGAAGGGGAGGACAGGGGAGAAGAGGCTGGGGAGGAAGGCGAGGTGAGGAGATGAGGGAGCGTCAGCCTGGCGCGCGAGGCGGCGCGGCGCAGACCGCAGCCTGTTTATAGAGCGCACTGCCGAGGGGCCCGGGCTCAATCCCCGGGAACGCCACGCATGCACAGGCGCCGCGCGTGGCCGGGGCCGTCCTGCTTCGAATCGGCCGATGCGCGTCGATGTCGCTTCACTCAGGACGGATCCGAGTCGATTGCCGTTTGCCGTCGCTCCCGGGGGGGCCGATGCTCAGAGGAAGATGAGGTACATTTACTGCTACCCTTGCCCCTTCTTGGCCATTTTTGGGGCCTCCTGGGAGGCCCTCGTTGCCACCCTGGGATTCGCTTGGAAGTTCAGGTCAGAACGCACCCCGGGAGGGGTAGCGGTATCGGTATTTTTGATTTCCCCAGATGTTCACACACTTCAATTGTCCATCTCGGCACGGTCCGCCGACTCCGTGCCGATCGACGCAGCCTGGCCCGTTTCGCGTCGCGATCCGATTTTTTTGGTTTTTGAGAGAATGTATGTTTGTTGAGTCCTATGTTGCGTGATGGTCGCTGCCCAACCAAACCCTCCGCAATGAAAATTGATGCACAGACGCCCTCCAATGGATTGCTCCTGGGCCACAGGAGAGGATGGCGGTGTATAATTCACCAGTGCGAGCCAGCGACTTTATACACTGCCACCCTCTCTGAAGGTACATGCAAACTCCGACTGATGATGTCTGTACACATTTATATGTATGTTTAGATGTGTATATCTAGACATATATATTTGTATATATATATACACATATATATATACATATTTGGCGTTGAACGGCGATCGTGTTTTTTTTTATTTGGGGGGGGGGGGCTGTTGCTCGCAACCGCCCTGCTGGTGAGGCGCCCGGCCAGTGCTCGCAGGCGTTGCCTAGCCCCCCGGGATAACGACCGCTACGCGGAAACCGTAGATCTGTTAGCCAGCGTGGACCTCAAGCAGTTTGTGTTATAGCAATACGTTTTGCGTAATTGATGTGGAGTATGCCATGCGGTGCAGTCTACGTTGTGCAGTCTATATTGTGCAACGTCTGTTGTTCAATTCGTGTTGTGCAGTACAAGTGGCGCTATCTACGGGGCGAAACTGATTGTCACAAACGATTTGGCACATCCCACGCTCTTGCAAACTTCCCACCCACCCACCCGCAATTTGTTTTGCAACCCACGCGGCGGCGATTGCGATGAGTGCATAGCGCTGTCTGGTGCATCTGTGCGGCCGCACCAGCCCGAGCATGCACGCGCGTGCAGGGGCCAGCTAGTTTGGCGCGACGGACGCGGCCGCGGTGGCGCTGACCGCTGGGCACACCCCAGCGGGCATTCCAGTTCGAGTCGGCGACTTGGGCGAATACGGTATCATAGCAGCGTCGACAACGGTGGAAACGATTATGATCGTAGCGATGTTGGTGGCGATGTTGACAGCGACGGCGGCATTGTCAGTGACGGCGCAGATCCCGATCACGCCGACGACCGTAACGGCATCATCGCCTCGGTGATGGAGGTTCCAGAAGGAATTCGGCATGGGCGCGGCCGACGTGCGGTAGTGGCTCGCGCTATATTATTTGACACGGGTCGCGCCCCCCCCCCAGCACGCGCGCAACGGCGGTCGAATGATTCTGGCACGCGGTGCGAGAAGCCCGTTTGGCAAAATAGCACGGACATGTTGAAAATCGATTGTTTTCTTATTTATTAGCAAGAGCGCGAGCGCAACCATTTCTGACAATTGATGTTGCGAACACAGATATTGTTTACTATGGAACCTCGTATTGTGTCAGTGATGTTGCGATCAGTTTTCGCAACTGATGTTGCGAACACTATTGTGCGGGACATTCGTATTTGAAATCTTCGCGAACCCCAGAATGTTCTGACATATTCCGCCATGCGCGCGCGACGACGCGCGCATGCATGACGTCTTGGGTTTTGCATTTGAGATGTGCGACGGCACGCGCGCAAGGGCGTTCGAATGATTTCGACATGCGCGCGCCAAGCCCTTTCGTGACCCCATCTCATTGAATTCGCATGAATCGTTCGCACAATCTTTCTGTGACAATCCGTATTGCGAAACCATGTTTTTTTTTACTGAGTTGTTTGGACACTCGAATTTCACATCGCTGCCGGACGCGCTGTTATTACAGGATTCCAGCATGCGCGCGCGACGACGCGCGCGTGCGCACTTCGTCGTATTCGTTTGCAGGGGACCGTTGGCATTTGGTGATTTGTCATAAACGAATGCGTGTGCATCCATGTCGTCGGGAAAGAATGGCTGGGGGGGGGGTCGATACCGTGTCGGTTGGGATGGTTTGAGTTCATATTTTCGACGGACGATGTGGCAGAGTCGTATGTAAATTTGGATACGGAAAAAAGGGGCACGGATAATTCCATGGGGGGTATAATCTAATTCTGTCAACACATGAGAATATATGTTGTGCAACCTACATGGCATAGTTTACGTGGCGCGACCTATTTGGTGCAATCTACGTTGAGCAACCGACCGCTTACACTACACGTGGAGCAATCCACTTGATCCCATATATGCCATGCGGTCTTTGCGAAGCAACTTGTTTATTGCAACGCACGTTGTGCAATGCACTATTTCTTTACAGTGCACTCTAAGTGGTGCGATATATGTGATTCAAACATAGTGTGCAACACACGCACTCATTCTTAAAGAGCAGAGCCATCGGGAGAGAGAGAAAGAGAGAGAAAGAGACAGGACACAGGAGAGCTGATGCACCGTAGCTTTACAATCGAAGCTGTGTCATATAGATTGCGCGGTGTATGCTGCGCAGTCTAGATTGTGCAATACGTTTGGAGCAATCGATCTATTGCGATCTACGTGGTGCATTTGCACGGTACATCGTGTGCAGTACATGATTTGCAGCAAGCGTGGTGCAATCTTTGATTTGCAACTCACGCCGTGCAATTAATGTAGTGCCGCTTTTGTGGTGCAGTACATATATGTGTATATTTCTAATTTTATTTAATCGCTTCGCTCATTCCGCCGGCCCAGACAGTCTCATGTCTGCCTTTTGCCCGAGGGCCTGGTGTCAATGCGGCGCTTTGGGGGTTCCTGGGGCCGCTTGGGGGACTCCTGGGGCGCTCGGGGGGGCATTTGGGGGGCCTCCTGGGGCCGCTTGGGGGACTTTTGGGGGCCTCCTGAGGGCCTCGTGGGGGCCTCTTGGGGCCTCTTAGGGGCCTCTTGGGGCCTCGTAGGGGCTTCTTAGGGCCGAGGGCTCGAAATGTTGTTTCGTGTTCCCTCTCTGGGGCCCCTTTGGGGGCGTTCTTGGGGCCCTCTTGGACCGTCTTGGAGGCTTCTTGGGCCGTCTTCGAGCCCTCTTGGGCCATCTTGGGGCCCTCTTGGGGGCTTCTTGGGCCCTCTTGGGGCGATCTTGGGGGCCTCTTGGGCCGTCTTGGGGCGTCGGGAAGCCGAAAAGGTGGAAGCTCCAAAATCTCTCAAAGGAGGTTTGGGAGTCGAACTGGCTGTCGCACTCAGCGCCCAGGCGTGGGAGGCCTGGGCGACAGCTCATGCGACGCCCGACCTCCTTCTGGCGCTCGGCGCCTGGACATTCGAGTATTCTTTGCCCCCCGCGTGTGCATCCAGCGCGTGGCCCTCGCGCGTCATGCTTGTTGATCTGGCTGTATGCTTGCTTTCAACACCCAGGTACGGCTCCCCGGCCTGGCGCGCGCACTGCTGTTTGCACCCGTGGCGTTCCCCCATCCTCGAAGCCGCTGAGGCCCCGCGGCTGGCGTCCCGCATAGGCGCTCAGCACATCGCGGCGAAGATGGTATTCGAGAAGGGGCGGCAGGGGGTGGCGGAGTTGATGTTGATGATGTTGATGTTGGTGATGAGGAGGAGGTGCAGGAGGAGTGAGATAGACGTGACGGGTCGAGGTGGAGGCGGATGAGGTGGGCGACGAGAAGGAGGAGGGGGAGTGGAAGAGAAGGAGGATGGTGGAACAGCTGGAGGGCAAGGACGCCGAGGACGAGGGAGGAGAAAGCTGGAGGAGGAAGTTGGAGGTGGCAGCTGGAGGAGGAGGCGGAGTGCCGGACCCGGGCCTGCACCGGGGCTGCTCCTCTAGGGGGCCGCTCCGAGGGGCCAGCCCTCGGCCGCCGTCGGGAGGCGGGCCCCATGAGCCGGCCGCGGCGCCTTGCACGGCCCCCGAGGCGGTCCAGATGAGACGTCTCCCGAGGCGCCAGTTTCTCAGAGGATCGAAGCGTCGGTCCTGAGGTCCTGAGGTGCCGGCCGAGGCATCGGCGGCCCTCCGTCTCCCTCCCTTCCTCCCTCCTCGGTCCTCCTCGGCCCTCCTCGTCCTGCGTCCTCGTCAGCCTTCCCCTCCTCTCCCTTCTCCTCGTCCTCCTCCCCCTCCTCCCCCCTCCTCCCCCCTCCTCTCCCTCCTCCCCCTCCCCCTCTCTCCATCTCCTCTTCCCCCTCCTCGTCATCCTCCCCCTCCTCGTGCTTCCCCCTCACGCCTCCCCCAGACGTGTCGATAGGGTGGGCCAGGCGCTTCGCCTCAGGCGTCCTGTCCGCTCCTGTCAGGAGGGGACAAAAAGACACAGACACAAGTAACCGTCGACTTCCAGGAAAATATGGGAAAATATGGGAAGTGGGGGGGGAAGACAAAAACCCAGAAAATATTGGAAAGTATTGGGCATAGTTTTATTTGTGTGTATTGATTTGTGTGTCCTGGGGCCCCTTCATTCTGACCGTCAAACTAAGAATTGTCACATGATAAAGGGCGGGACCATTTTGCAACATGTGGCTCTTGCCGCAGCGCTGCGCAATTCCGTTTGAAATATTACAGCGGTTACAAGAAGGAGGGAGGGCGGTTCTTTTCCCGAACGGGACTGTTCCCACGGCGCCGCGCACACGCGTTTTTCATTTTACCTCCCACCAGTTGCAAGGAGTTTTTTTTGTCTGAATTGGGCTCTCGCTCGATGGCCAGGAGTGGACTTACTGGTAGGAATTCTCAGAACTTTGCATTTCACGGGAGAAGTGCGTCTGTTGTTCAAAGCGTGTTTCTGGTTGGACATATTTTTGAGTATCATGGCCATATGATGTCGCGTTCCTTATAGCTAGAATGCAGAGCAATCCCCCCCTTGATGAGCAGATTCTCGCCCGAATGGCAGGTCCACGGGGCGCTGGCCTGTTAACCGGGCGCGTCCCCCGCAGTGAAAAGCAATGTTTGAACGGACTTGCGAGACGGAGACTCGGGACGGGAGGGTGTGCAGCATGATCTTGGCTGAATGTTTGGCTCCTTATGGTCCTCCTCCTGCTCCTCCGTCCTCCTCCTCCTCCTCCTCCTCCTCCTCCTCCGTACTCCTCCGCCCCCCTTCTCTCTGACTGAAAAAGAAGTCCCGACCACGCTCCATGAGCACGATGGGCACGCGAGTCGATGCTCCCTGAGGCCTGCAGTTGGAACTCCCAATAGTCAAAATCACCCGATGCACCACCACAAAGCCTCTCATTGGCCGGAAAAGGGTGAGGGGGCCCTGAGGGGATCCTGAAAGGGTGAGGGGTGCCCTGAGGGGATCCTGAGGAATCCTGTGGGATCGCAAGGAGCCTTCAGGCATCCTGGAGAACCTTTGAGGAAGATCCTGAAGCATCTGTGTGGATCCTGGGGAGGAAGCCATCGGACTCTGTGGAGGGGGGAGGTCCTGGTGAACCCTAAGAAGCCCTTGGGGGTCCTGAGGAATCTTCACGTGTCCTGAGGAGTCTTTGGGGGTCCTGAAGAATTCTAAGATATCCTCAGGAATCTTGAGCAGCCCCTCGGGATCTTGAAAAACCCTGGGGAGATCCTGAAGAACCCTTGGGGGTCCCACGGGTTCCTGCGGGATCCGGAGGAATCTTGGGGACCCGGGAGGAATCCTGAGGAATCTTGTAGGGTCCAGAGGAATCCTAGCGAATCCTGGGGAGTCCTGATGAGAGCCCAGAGGAAGCCTAGGGGATCCTGAGGAATCCTTGGGGGTCCTGGGGATCCTGGGGGATCCTGAAGAGTGCGACGGAGTCCAGAGGAATCCTGAGGGGTACCCTGAGGGGATCTTGAGGAATCCTTAGGGCTCCTTCGGTGTCTTCAAGCATCCTGACGAACTTAGGAATCATTGTGGATCCTGAGGAGGAATCCATCGGACTCGTTTGGAGGGGGGGGTCCTGGAGAATCCTGAGGAGTCCTCGGGAATCCTGAGGAGTCCTGAGGTGTCCCGAGGAAACCTGACGAATCCAAAGGAATCCTGATGAGCCCAAAAGAAGCCTAAGGGGATCCTGAGGAATCCTAGTATGTCCTAAGGACTCCTGAAAAGCCCAGCGGAATCTCTCGAGAAACCCGAGGGAGATCCTGAAGAATCCTTTGGGGTCCCAAGGTTCCTGTATGATCCTGTGGGACCCTGGAGCCTCGGGAGGAATCTTGAGGAATCGTGAGGGTTCTTGAAGAATCCTGACGAATCCAGAAGAGTCCTGATGAGTCCAGAGGAAGCCTTGGGGATCCTGGTGAATCTCGTGGAATCTGGAAGAATACTAAGGAGTCCTGAGGAGTCCCGAGGGGCACCCAGAGGGGAGCCTGAGGAATCCTTTGGGAACCGAAGGAGGCCTTCAGCATCTAGAGGAATCTTGGGGGATCCTGAAGAATCGCTGTGGACCCTGAGGAAGAATCCATCGGCATTTGGATGGGGAGGGTCCTGGGGAGTCCTGAGAAATCCTGGGGAGTCCTGAGGAGTCCTGAGGAATCCTTAGGGACCCTGAAGAATGCGAAGATATCCTGGAGAATCCTGAAGGGCCCAACGAAATCCTGAGAACCCCATGGGGAGATCCTGAAGAATCCTTGGGGATCCCCAGGATTCCTGGGGGATCCTGAGGAATCCTTGGGGCTCGGGAGGAGTCCTGAGGAATCCTGAAGGGTCCTGAGGGATCGTGACGAATCCGAAGGAATTCTGATTAGTCCAGAAAAAGCCTGGGGGATCCTGAAGAATCTTTGTGGGTCCTGAGGAATCCTTGGGGATCCTGACGGATGCTAAGGAATCCAGAGGAAACCTGAGGGGTACCCTGAGGGAGTCCTGAGGAACCATGGGGGATCCTAAGGAGGCCGTAGGCGTCCTGAGGAGACATGGTGGATCCTGAGGAAACCTGAAGTGTCCTAAGCACCCTTTGGGGACCCTGAAGAATTCGAAGATATCCGGAATAATCCTGAGGAGCCCAACGGAGTCCTGAGAACCCCATGGGGAGATCCTGACGAATCATGTGGGATCCCAAGGATTCTTGGGAGATCCTGAGGAATCCTGACTCCGGAAGGAGCCTGAGGCCGGTGCCAACGCCTTACCGAACAACAGCAACAACAATAACAACAACAACAGCAACAACACCAACAACAATAACAACAACAACAACAACAATCACTTTACCCGAACGCTCAGTGTTCTCACCAGTGCCAGGGTTTTCATGCGACGCCAGCCAATACCCCCACTTTGTGGGGGGGCAGTGCAAGCTCTACCAAATATCCACACGACTCTTCGCCACCACCCACACCCAGCTTCCCGCCCTATGACGTTCGGACACTTCACTTCGTGGCCTGCGGACGACCGTGGCTACTACACTGGCGTGGAGTACACACCCACAGAAGTTGTTAAGCCTACGTTCGTACACCCACAGAAGTTGTTAAGCCTTGTTAACCCACAGAAGTTGTTAAGCCTTCCACAGAACATCTGTTGCATATGATGCATATGGTACATGATACACATGATACACATGGTTTTTGGAGATTTCGGCGTGCGCGCGCGAAGAAAAAACGAATGTGTCCCGCATGGTATTATTTGACAGGGATGATGGCCCTGGCAGGTGCGCAACCGTTGTCGCAGAAGTTCGAAAAAGTTGCTCGCAAAAGCCCGTTTGACAGAAATGTTTAAAAAGTGTTGGGTTTCCTACGAATCCGCAAGAGCGCGCGGGATGAGATTTTGACATTTTTTTGTTGAAAAACCATTGGTTTTTTGATGTTTTTATGTTAAAATCGCTCCGAACACTAAGCTTTTGGAAGGATTTCGTCTTGCGCGCGCGAATGTCCACTTTACCTTATTTTTTGCAAGGGATTCTTGAAATTTGATTATATTAGAACAAGAAATGTCATTTTATAGTGTTTTTTGCAAGGGAAAGCGGGGGGGAACAAAACAACCGGATCTTGATCACATCGAATTACCTGAGGCTTCCTCACGAAAATGATGAAAATGTAGCTGCGGCCTAGGCGGCGCAGGGGGGCCGTGCACCAGGGGTCCCAACATTAATTATTCTTTAGAATTAATAATGTTCAACAACAACAACAACACCACCACCACCACCACCACCAACAACAACAACAACAACAAAACAACAGCAACAACAACAACAACAACAACACCAACAACAACAACAACAACACCACCAACAACAACAACAACAACAACATCAGCAACAACAACAACGATTATGATAGCAGCGGTAACAATGATCAGAGTGATCGTTGTGATCGTTATTTTTGTACTCGCCATCGTTGTTACCATTGCCCCTACCTTCCTGCCAACAGGCTCGCTCCCGCACGCGCGGGAGCGCGCGAGGGCGCGGTGCCGATGCGGCCTCCTGCAGCAGCGCGAGAGCGGCTCGGAGCTTGCATGGGTGGGTGGTAGTGGGGGGTGAAGGAATTTGGGCTGTGTGTGTAGAAAAGGACCCCAAAATGACTCTTTGGAGGAGGAGGAGGAGAAGGAGGAGGAGGAGGAGGAGGAGGACTCTCCACCCCGCTAATTCCTGATACCCCCCAGTACCATCCGCCCGAGGAGTGGCACCAGCGCGCGTGTTTTTTTGCTGCTCCGGCGCAGGTCGCTGCCACTCAAGCGATCCTGCGACGGCGTAGCACTCGCATGTGCGGTAGCAAGCCATGGGAGCGCTGCACTGTGGTCGATCAGCGTCGTTTAAGGGATGGGATCGCGCCCATTTGGCGTTGATGTAGCGTCGGTGTAGCGTCGATTCGCGTCGATCGCCGTCGACTCGCAAGAGCCAACAAGATGGTATGGGATGATCCCATGAGTTGCCACCGGAGTACCATTCGGGCGATCTTCGACGTGTCGGGAGCTTCCGGCTCCTTCCCCCTTCAGACCCAGACCTCCGGGCGTCGCGATCCAAGCAGGCACGGCGGGCGCTCCGTTTCCGCAGTCGGGGCACGGGAGGAGCGCTATCGGGCCCCATGGGGCTTGCACGAGAGCCCACGACGAAAGTGGCAGTCGTGGCGACGGGGGCGAGAGTTCTCGGGAGTCCACGCGAGAGGCTCACGAAAATTGTGGGGCTTTTGGCCGCCCGTCCGCCTCAGAACCCAGATGGCCGCTTCCTGCTACGCGTGGGCCCCTTGAGGACCCCGTGTCCACGTGAAGAGGACCTTACCAGCCTCGAACTTATCCCTATCCCGAAGATTGACACGCCAAAAGGCGATGACAATCTTAGGGATGCGCCCTCAAAAATAAGGGAATCCCTAAGACTGGCATCGTGATGAGGAGATGCCCAGCATAGGGATAGGGATATGGTCCAGGCTGGTACTGACCCACGGCGCGCGCTCCACGAGTGCAGATGCCAAAAGTTCGAGAGCTGCAGAGCGCCACTCGCGGAGCAGAGCCGGGCGGGCGTCGGAGGTCCGCGGTTCTCCCCTCTGCTCTCTCCCTCCACCCGTTGGGCACACTGCACCCCGCCGCTCCAGCCAGCCAGCGTGTCTGGAGGAAAAGGACGCACCGCCTCCTGGCCGCCTCCTCGCCCTCGGGCCCGCCGAGCCTCAGGCTTCTTGTCCCTGGAGCCGAGTCGTGGGATCTGTTCTGGAAGCTTTGCCTCGGCAGTCTGACTCGGACGAGGCGCTGTGGCCCTCGCACGTCCGGCTCTTGCCTTTCAAGTTGTCGGCTTCATGTTGGATATTGTCTGAATCGAGTTATTTCTGAATCCCTCCTGCCGGGCATCCTGAGATTGTCTAGGTCGTTCCAGGTTTGATGCTCCCACCCACACGGTCGCTCGCATGCGCACTTTCTCCAGCCTTTGGTCGCGTCCCGCTGAATATACATACGCGTATATATGTCTATTTTACGGGCGCAGCCCGTAATTTTGATCTTCGCGAGGAAGACAGACTGATTTGAACCACCAGGCCGTTAGATGGCAGTTTTATTTCCGCGGGTGAGGATATGTCGGTAGCAGTTTTAAGCCAGCGGGTGAGGATATTTCGGTGGCAGTTCTAAGCCCGCGTATGAGGATATGTCGGTGGCAGTGTTAAGCCAGTGGATGAGGATATTTCGGTGGCAGTTTTAAGCCAGCGGGTGAGGATATTCCGGTGACAGTTACGAGCCAGCAGTTGAGGATATTTCGGTGTTTCAGCGGGTGAGGATATTTCGGTGGCAATTTATTTCCGCGGGTGAGGATATTCCGGAGGCAGTTTAAGCCAGCCGGTGAGGATATTTCGGTGGCAGTTTTAAGCCAGCGGGTGAGGAAATTTCGGTGGCAGATTTATTTCCGCGGGTGAGGGTATTTCGGCGGCAGTTTTAAGCCGGCAGATGATCATATTTCGGTCGCAGTTTTATTCCCGCGGGTGAGGATATTTCGGTGGCAGTTCTAAGCCAGCGGGTGAGGATATTTCGGCGGCAGTTTTAAGCAAGCGGGTGAGGATATTTCGGTGGCAGTCTCAAGCCAGCGGGTGAGGATATTTCGGTGGCAGTTTTATTTCCGCGGGTGAGGATATTTCGGTTGCAGTTTTAAGCAAGCGGGTGAGGATATTTCGGTGGCAGTTTTATTTCCGCGGGTGAGGATATTTCGGTGGCAGTTTTAAGCAAGCGGGTGAGGAAATTTCGGTGGCAGTTTTAAGCCAGCAGGTGAGGATATTTCGGTGGCAGTTTCATTTCCGCGGGTGAGGATATTCCGGAGGCAGTTTTATGCCAGCGGGTGAGGATATTTCGGTGGCAGTTTTAAGCCAGCGGGTGAGGATATTTCGGTGGCAGTTTTATGCCAGCGGTTGAGGATATTTCGATGGCAGTTTTAAGCCAGTGGGTGAGGATATTTCGGTGACAGTTTTAAGCCAGCGGGTGAGGATATTGCGTTGGCAGTTTTAAGCCATCGGGTGACCATCACCGGCTCGATAACACCTCGATAACACCCGATAACACGTCGATGACATTTTTGCGAGATGTGTTCGAGATGTTATCGAGGTGCTATCGAGTGTGATCGAGCTCGATAACGCTCGAGAGCACCTCGATAACACTCGATGACACCTCGATAGCATGAGGTGTTATCCATGTGCTATCGAGTGTTATCGAGCGGTGGCAGTTTTAAGCCAGCAGGTGAGGATATTTCGGTGGCAGTTTTATTTCAACGGGTGAGGATATTTCGGTGGCAGTTTAACCCAGCGGGTGAGGATATTTCGGTGGCGGCTTTAAGAAAGCGGGTGAGAATATTTCGGTGGCAGTTTTATTTCCGCGGGTGAGGATATTTCGGTGGCAGTTTTAAGCCAGCAGGTGAGGAAATTTCGGTCTCAGTTTTAAGCCAGCGGGTGAGGATATTTCGGTGGCAGTTTTAAGCCGGCGGTTGAGGATATTTCGATGGCAGTTTTAAGCCAGCGGGTGAGGATATTTCGGTGGCAGTTTCACTTCCGGGGGTGATGATATGTCGGTTGCAGTTTAAGCCAGCGGGTGAGGATATTCCTGTGGCTGCTTTGATCCAGCGGGTGAGGATATTTCGGTGGCAGTTTTATGCCCGCGGGTGAGGATATTTCGGTGGTAGTTTTAAGCCAGCGGGTGAGGATATTTCGATGGCAGTTTTAAGCCCGCGGAGGAGGAGGAGAAGGAGGAGGGAGGAACCGAGCATATCTGTGCTCGGCGCGGGCATCCAGCCGCCACGCGACGCGCCATTCGCTTGGTTGGCCCAGCCGACGGCTACGCATCCAGCGCGGTGCTGCGCCCGTATATATGCTCGCCCCTTTGCGTGGGGCTGGCGGGGGGCCAAGGGGCGAGCTGTCTGGTGATTTTATTACCCAGACCCCCCCTAAACCACGTGTTTTCTGCGCCTAGCCCCCCTCCAGCTAATGTCTCTCGTGTTCCATCTTTTTGCGTTTCCCTTTCATCCGTCCACTCGTTCCTTGTTTTGGAGTTCGCACTACATGCACGCTACCCCCAAGGGGGTACGATCGAAGACGAAGAGGGCGGGTACCGAGGGTTCGGGAGATTCACGTTGAATGGCACGCGAACGGATAAGAGCGCGCAGTCTTAAACACATTGTTGTTGTTGCTGCTGCTGCTGCTGTCGACGTCCTCGCCTGCGGCCCGCCCGCGACCCACCCTGTGCCCCACCCGCGACCTTCTGGCGACCCACCCCTCGCATGCACCCTTATCCGTCTCCGCAATTGTGGGGTGCTACGCACATCCAGAAATACATGATACCGGAGAAAAGGCTCAATCAAAGTCTGTTTAGGGCTAAGGGCTATAAGGCGATAGGGGCTACGGGGCTATAGGGCCATAGGGCTGTAGGTCTATAGGGCTATAGGGCTATAGGGCCACAGTGCTAAAGGGCTATAGGGCTATAGGGCTATGGGGCTATAGGGCTGTGGTGATATCGGGCTATAGGGCTGTAGGGCTATTGGTCTATAGGACTATGGGAGCATGATGCTATAAGACCATAGGGCGCTGTATGGCTATAGCTATATATGGCAACAGGGGCTATAGGGCTATATATGGGCATGTAGAGCTATAGGGTTATAGGGTTAGAGGGATATACGGCTGTAAGGCTATAGGGCAATACGGCTATAGGAATATCGGGTTATAGGTCTATAAGGCTATAGGGCTATACGGCTATATGGCTATAGGCCTGTTGGGCTATAGGGCTATGGGGCTATAGAGCTACAGGGCTCGAGGGCGACAGGGCTATAAGGCTATACGGCTATAGGGCTATACGGCTGTAGGCCTCTTGGGCTATAGGCCGATGGGGCTATAGAGCCATACGGCTTCAAGGCTATAGGGCTACGGGGCCATAAGGCACCCAGACACCCGGGCACCCAGACATCCGGGCGGGCCGCGGAAATCGGTGGCACACCCCACCTAACCTACGGAGGCAAGCTCGCACCGGGGTGGCGCACGCACGCGCGCGCGCGCACACACCGGGGGACGAAGGCCGCGGGGGCCCAGCCCACGGACCTCCGCGCCACACCGGGGGACGAAGGCCGGGGGGGCCCAGCCCACGGACCTCCGCGCCCCATGGGAGGACCAGCGGCTTCCCCCAGGCAGCTTCGCGAGGCTTCGAGGCGGCTCAATGGAGCTTTGAGAAGCTCTCGCGGTAGCTTCCAGACGGCGCCGGAGGCTTCTAAGACGCATCATGGCCGCCTCGAGAGAGCTCCAGGGCTCCAGGGCGCGGGTGGCTTTCCCGTTGCTTCCTCCTTTCTCCCCTCCCCCGTCTCCTTCCTCCCGGAAGTCTGCGTGCTCCTCCTGGCCCCATTCTTCTCTCTCCTCCTGCTTTTCGGGATGGATTTTGGACCCCTCCTCCTCCTCGACATGGATCTTGGCCCCCAACGGCTCCACCACCAGTCTCTCCTCATCATCGCCCTTCCTCATCATTTTTCTCCCTTCTCCTCCTCCTCCTCCTCCTCCCCCTCCATCCTTATACCAGCCCGGGGCAAATTCCCATCCCTATGATGGGGATCACTCGATCTCGAAGCGGATATCTGGATCCTTCCCTCGGTTTCTGAGAGCGTTCCCCTGAGATTGTCATCACCTTTGAGCTTGTCATCGGCGGCGAACGAGTGGGGGAAGGACGGAGAAGGCCTTCTCAGAAAGCGGCGGGGCTCATCAGAAGCCTCCCGGCCTTCTATGAAGGTGTCTCGTCTGCGTGGACGCCCTCGACTTGTTTTGCCGAAAGCCCGGGGGACTTCTGGGCCGTCTGAGGAAGCTCGTCCCCCCTCGCTTT